GCCCCGGCGTGCCCACGCGCCTGACACGTCCGGGCCGGCGCCGCGGGTGTTTCCCAAACGACGCCGCTGTGTGACGACAGTTACTTTGCCGTCACTCTGCGCCCCTCCCCGTCTCGGCTGCCATCCCCGGGGGCTCCCCACCACCGGGTACCCGTGTGCGTCGCAGCCCAGCCCCCCAGCTCTGACCCGCCCCCACTCCCCGCGGCTCTTTCTGACGGGCCGGCGGCTCCTGTGCCTCAGAGTCGCCATTTCAGTGGAATTTTAGCGCATTTACGAGCTGTCACCACCCCAGCCCCCCCCGCAGCCGCCCCGCCCCAGGCTCCTCCCCGCGGCCTGTCCAGCGCGGCCCAGCGGGGCGCCGGTCTCGGGGGGCGCCGGTCTCGGGGGGCGGGGTGCTCGCTGCCACGACCTCGCGCGGCCGTTTGTGGTGAAGGCCTTGGGTCCTCAGCGGGTAGAGTCTGGGCAGTCACAGGCCCGGACGGTGGCCCCCTCCTTTTCTGGGTGCCTGTAGCCCACCCTCTCGCCGGTCACCCTGGCCGCGGCTCCGCCCTGGCGCCCGGTCCGAGAGGCGCGTCGGCCGTTGGGGGGCCGCCTGGGCTCGGCCGGCTGCGGCTTCCTCCCCCGCTTAGTCTGAGGCCGGAGTTGGGGTGGAAGTTGGGGTGAAGGCGGAGGGTCAGCCCGGGCAGAGCCACGCCAGGAGGGCCCACCGGCCTAGAAAAGGACGTGGCCCGGGGTGGGGGGTGCCCGGCCGTGCTGGGGAGCAGGCTGCACCCCGGCCCGGTGGGAGGCGAGGGCGGCGGGGGCTGGCCCAGGCTGAGGCTCTCCGCTCTCCCGGCAGCTGGAGCAGTTCAAGAAGGACAACATGGACACGGGCTTCGGCTCGGGCACCCGGGCTCTGGAGCAAGCTCTGGAGCGCACGAAAGCCAACATCAAGTGGGTGGCCAAGAACAAGGCGCCCGTGCTGAACTGGTTCACCTCCAAAATATAGGCGGGCCTGGAGCACGCAGGTCCCCGCGTCCCCCAAGGACACACTCCCGGGCCCGGGCTCTCTCCACGCCGCCCGGGCTGTCTCCCGGCCCCAGCCCCGGCCCCTCGAGCCACCCCACCCCAGGCCTGGCACGTGCCAGAAATTCTGCACCCAGAAATTCTGGGGCTGATCTCAGGGAAGCAGCTGGGCCCAGGGGCCAGGCGGACAGTGGCCGGGCCTGGGGCCTGTCTGGCCCCGCCCTCTCACGCACCCCAAGAAGCCCTGAGGAATCAGCAGGGCGGCAGATCTGTATATTTTTATCTGAGAGAAAGTGTAAATAAAGGATACCCCGCTGGCAAGCCGCTCCTCACGGGCTGGAGCGGGG